CACTCTTTCTAAATCCGAATCATAATCCCATGATATTTTGTGTGCCGTAATTTATGGTATAATTATCTTTTTTTCTCTCCTTTAATCATCTCATGTTTAGAGCCCCACCCGTTTATCCTAAGAAACATTTAAAATAATACTTCCACTAATATTATAGACACACCATGCATACCGTATGCTTTTATAGATTCTTGTTTTCAAGATTTGGAGTTAAAATATTACAATAAAAATGGAATATAATCGTATGAAACCCTAAAACCTAATACACTGCAATATAGACTATTTTTCTAGGGGTCATTTTTGTTATTAACCGAATAATTGAACCGAACCAAATCTGATATAAAAACCAAACCATTATGATTTTTTAATTGGAAAAAATCAAAATTGAATAAAAAATAACAAAAAATCCGCTTTTTTTTTTTAAAAAAATAGTTTTTTATCAATAAAAAATTGAATTTTAATCCAAATAAAATTGAACCAATCAGAAGTTGATAGAATAACTGAATGATTATAGTTTTGCTATAATACGAAATCCGAAATGGCCACCACTAATCATCTCACATATCGTATATTTAGATCTAAACGGGATAATACATATTCGGAGTAATCCAATTGGTTACAAGATCTTATGAAATCGAAAATGTAGGTATGGAGTGATACAAGAGGAGCCATTGTGGATAGTGTTTCCGAGCAACATGATGATAAAGTTGAAGGAGGAGTTGATATTCAACAGTTACAAGACGGTGGATGGGCGAGGAGCCAACGTCCACATCGTTGGCGGAGGCTGCATCACTCTTCAGTACATCTCCAATGTCATCATCCACAACATCCACATCCACCATTGCTATTCTTCCGGTACTTATTTTATTATTTTTTCCTTTTAAATAAATTATTTGAAAATTGCGTTTTATAATAATTTGATGTCTTCGCTTTGACTATTCAACGTGCGGTCGCAGGGAATACTAACGTACGCTCGAGTCCATCGCACTACGGGTACAGAACGAAATCGGACGGTGACGGGATATCCATATTCGGCGCGAAGGACATATGGATCGACCACTGCTCGCTCTCGCGTTGCAAGGACGGTCTGATCGACGCGGTGATGGGGTCCACAGGAATCACCATCTCCAACAATTTCTTCTCTCACCACAACGAAGTCATGCTCCTTGGTCACAGCGACGACTACGAGCCCGACTCCGGCATGCAGGTTCGGCCCCGCCATCCCGGTTCCCGGTTCGGTTATTTCCGATTTCAGATTATATTTATTCAGTTTTTATATCAAGTTCGGATCGGTTTCAATTTGGATTGAGTTTTATTGATAAAAATATTAATTCTTCAAAGAAATTCCGAGGCTTCGTATATTTAGTTCGGTTTGGTTTTACGAATGTTTTCGGTTTTAAGGTTACGATTGCGTTCAATCATTTTGGAGAGAAGCTAATTCAGAGAATGCCG